ATATATATATGTATGATACATATGTAATTAGGTATCAATATAATTAATACGTATATTTATACTTATGTGTGATTATGGAGTAAAAAATGAATAGATCAAATCGATAGAATTTATTTATTTTTCTTTCATTTTTCACTAATAGATAAATATTCTTTTAAAAAAATGTTCATTCTTAACAGTACAAACCATATTTGAAAAGTTCTACAAATAAAAACATACAAATCCCTTGAACAAGAATAGAAAGAGTAAGAAGAAAGCCTTGTAACTTTATTTATCATAACAAGAAAAACAACTTTGAAGAGAAGGTTTCTTCGAAATATTAAACCGAAGTAGTAGTACCCAAGAGCTCCAAAAGTCTCGACCCTTATGTTATATAAAAAAAAAAAGAAAAAAAACCGAAAGGCAGTTGATCGGTTTCCTTTGACCACTTTCACGGAGTAGCATGCCGAGAAACGCTTTAGCACGCGTACGAGACGGTGGTTAACATATGATCGTGAGCACACGCGAAGCTACGCTATACAGGATGATAGGGGCCTGAGAAGCAAGACTTAAGAGAAACAAAGAGAAAAAAGTACAGGAAAAAGAGAGACGTAGAATAAGAAGGGGGGATAGGTGAAGAGAAGAAGAGAGGGCCAGTCTTTGGGTCTCTTAGCTAAATGGAGGGGGCCCCCTGCCGTAAAAGAAGGCTCACCTGCCGCCAGGTGCGAGTATTCGAACCATCTGCTTGAAGGGCTCGTGCCACGAGACCGTTTTCTTTTTTCCATTGCTTACTTACCTTCCGGTATATATATGTGTACAATGTACTTGTAAGCGCGTCCACTCGTGTATGTTGCTTTTTATATACGTGTAAGTACGTATACATATATGAATGAAACTAATACAACAATGCGACACGCGTATGTCGTCTGAACACGCGACATAATTACGATTCTATACGTCACGAACGACCAACACGATGCTAATGGTGATGATGGTAGTGATCGCAACAGTAGTAGTAGGTAGTAGTAGTAGTAATAGTCGTGGTAGTAGTAGTGGAAGTTAAAGACTTGAAACTCTGACGTTCATTACCTTTCTCATTTGGGATAGACATTATAGAACAAAAATTTGCAGGTAATTTTTAGATAAACCAATTTTTTTTTCATGACAGTGGAAGTTTCATTGATTTTTTTTTATATTTCGTAAGCAGAGGATTTATAGGGATTCATTGTTATCTTTAAATGTTTATTAACATTTTGTTAGACGTCATTCATTCATCTTCCAAATTTAATTAAGGATTAAAATAGTTAAAATCTTTTTCTTCGAAGATTATTTTCTTTCAACAAGATATATTATTTTAATTTTCAATCATACTCAGCGCCAATCGTGATGCTCATCTCTTCGGAAACAATTCTAGTTTGGTGATACCATCGATTGGTGTCCAAGACAACTAGAAAAACGACAACGATCGATGAATATATAATATCTGTACATATTATATAATTAGAATCGCTTACTTATCTCTCCGGTTTGTACGACCACTTCCAATTGTTTACACGCGTAATGACATTCCCTCGGTGGCTGCAAGATCCATAATTTTTCACCCCTTATTTGTGCCTGCCATGAAGGATGCTCGACGTCATCGACCTAAAAAACATTAGATATTAGAATCAATCGCGTTTCCTCTTTCATAAATACAAATTAACTATAATTAAAAAACTTACATGCATCGGTGCTCCATATCCATGACTCCCCATAAAAATCCAATCAGTTTTTTCACTTTCCGCTGTAGGTGGCAAGAAATATGGTCTTTGATAATGTTGCCTCAACACAGTGCCAATTCTACCATCACAATTGCTCCTGCAAACAGATTTTTTATTCCCCATCGAAGTTTAATCCATTTTCATCAAATTAAAATGACCGCAATACTAATTACATTAATTACCAATTAATTATTATGATTGTTTTAATAATTAAAAACTATTATCCACACATACATCGTAATAAAATGAAAAATGAAACTTCCATTTCTAGGTAATCGTTCGCTACTCTCCACGTAGTTAGTATTAGTTTGCTGTAAGCTTGTTAATGCGATTATGTGAGTCCGTGCGTGTGTCTATAGTGACAGTTATGGAGGCCTACCAAGTGCATCGGATAATATACCCTCGAATTCCTTTTTCGTATCTTTCTTTTTATTTTCTTTACCTTTTTTTATTATGCAGAGAACACTCTTATTCAATCTATTATTTAGGCTTTGAAAATCTACTGCGTTAAATTAAAACACGCGGAACGTCCACCATAAATCGTACATGTTTACTAGATTAGATAGAATAGATAGAATTTAAACTTCATTGAAGCATTATAAATAAATATTATATGTATGTGTTTATAATGAATCTGTTTTATGATAGATCTCATTATTTTTTAGATATACGAGTGATAATAACCGTACGAATTATTATATTTTAATTTATTCATTTTAATTTAATACAATTATTTATACACGCATACATATAATAAATAAAATGAATAAAACAGAAATGACTTACCAGCCAACGTACCAAGGCTTTGTACCAGCTTGCAAAAGAGATCTACTGGTACTCATATTGAAAACGTCCTGCAAACTTCGGAATTCGGTTTTGTACGGAAAAAATTGACAACCAGCTTGTTCTCCTTCATAGAGAGATTTAAAAAAAGAATAGCTAAAGATTTTTGGAGCCGTCCAATTGATCATCGCATCCATTATTACAACCGGTCTCCCAGAATATGCATAACTAATGATGAATATTAAAAATCATTTAAGGATTGATTAATTTATAGTCTGACAATCACAGACGAATTTAAATGAATTTGAATACCGTTCTTCGAAGACAATAGGATCAATGTTCGATAATTTATCGATACGTTGAATGTCCCGGCAGATAGAACAATCTTCCGGTGGGCGAAATATTTTCTGTGTTACTACCGGATATTCCATTAAGCACTGCAAAAATCAATCGTCGTAACGTTGATCATTCATTACTGCTAAATTATTTATTAATTCATCCTTTGAAATAAATACCTTATCGTAACGATAAGTAGAGATCAATTTCCTAGTAGTTTGTCCGAAGAACCAAAGCAATAGAAATCCTAGGATCCACAGGTGTTTACTATGAATCCTTATTCCGATCGATTTGCGTCTCGAATTAGCACGTAGCAGAATTGAAGCACGAGCAAATGAATTAAGCTCGTCTATTTGATTAATAATCGAACTGAGATCTTTCTGAACCGATTCGTACGACTTCCTCTTGGAGGAGTCAACAAATTTTCCTTCGATTTCTGTTGTCCTCGTCATGCTGATCCTGATGGTAGTCCGTAGCGAACTGATACGAAATCCTTTCTCTATACTTCACAGAACCTGTACCACTACTATTATTACTACTATTACTACACAACTACCACTAGGATACTCCTACGCGTTGATCGAAACCGCGCATCGTAAAGGGGTTGGGGGTGAGGATAAAACACGCTCGTTCCCTTGTTCACCGAGCTGTGAAACGAGGAAGGAATCCTAGATCTGGATTACAGATTGATTCTACCTATCTCCAAGCTAGTCTCTCTCTTTCTTTCTCTCTTGCTGATTTAACATGGGGCCTACTAAATCGAGATATTCTCTATGTTTGTTATATATATATATATAGTCTACATGCTACAATAGTGATTTAAGAAAAAAGGGGGAATAAGCAAGAGATGTTTTATTTTTATTAACAAAGCCAAATACTTCAGTCGTAGTTGTTCAATATAATTAAAAAGCCGATAATAAACCATTACTATTATTATAAAGTAAATTATATATTTTTGGAAATAGTTTATATATCATTTTTTAATGAGATATTATGATGATCGTAATATTAATGATAGTTATAATAAAAGAAATGTAACATTACATATATTCTTTCTTTAATATCTACATAGAATTCGAGTTCACACAAACGAGAAATAGTATCGATATAATTCTACATGTGGGCGAACTCGATTTAAACGCGTCTTCTTATCTCTTGAACCAGGTGGCTGTGCTCAACGAACCGAACAAATTTTTCCTGTTAAATAACGATCATCGATTTGAATTGTGCCATCTTCCTCCTTTTTTCTTCTTCTTCTAATAAGATTTTGACACGTTTCAAATACTTCAGATTTACTCTCAAATTTTAATACTTACATATGAATCTATCTATTTGAAGTCTTTACAATTATTACAACTTCGAACAAGTAACTTCTCGTAATGAATACCTGATTATATCGACGAACTTTACAAATTGTAGAACGTGTAAATTCTTATTAATTTAACTAAATTTAATGAGATACGTTGCGCTTTGTTAAAGATATTTTATTAAAAAAATAAAAAAGAACGAAAGCGAAATAATGATTATATTATTTGAAATAACTAGAACATTTCTTTTCATATCTATAATGATCAAATGATTTTAAATATATTAAAATTAAATAATATATAGAGGTATTAATGAAATCAATTGTAATGCACTTATTTGAATATTATACTAATTTACAATGTAGAACGATAAATATTATACTTACATTTCTCTCTCTCTCTCTCTCTCTCTCTTTCTCACTCTCTTTCTATTTCTTTGTTGTAAGTAATAATTACGAAGAATAAAAATGCACTAGTTTGGAAATAAAAAATGTAAAAAAAGAATTTGTTTAAATGTCGTTATTTAAAAAATAGCAATCAATCGCAACAGAGGTTTCATCCTTGGAAAATAATTTCCATACGATTGGAAAGAAACATGAGGTAGATAGTATCAGGTATATATATATAGGTGGGTAGGTAAAATGATTCACTTCGACGACTATTCGAGAGACACAGACGAGATTACGCGCGTAGAATAGAATGCCAGAGCCTTTTACAATTGCAAATTGACAATCCGCAGGGCAATCCATGCCTTAATTAACGATCAGCCTCGAATCAAGTGGATTACTTGCTTTCCGTTATGCGTTTGAATTTTATGAGATTCCAAGGAGACAAAGATAAAAAAAATAACAAATATACTGAGTGTTTCACATAAAAACGTACGTCCAATTATCTAACAAAACTATACTTTAAATAATACAAAAAAAAAAAAGATATTTTAACAGAACTAAAAAGTAAGTTTTAAACATATTCTACGCTTATTATTATAGTCAATATTTTTGTGATCTGTCCGTCTCTCTCGTTTAATTTTATACATTCATTTAATTGATCAAAAACAAGGCTTGGATCTAATAAATATTTGAGAAAAAAATTATTTGTTTTCAATGAAAAAATTCTTAAAAAAAATAGTAAAAAGAAGTAAGTCAATATCAGCGCAATTAAATTCTTTAATTGTTGTCAGTCGGGTTTTGAAATACACTATTCGATCTTCGTTTATAATAATTATTGTATATGCGTGATACTCTGTCCGATATAAATTAATTCGAGAGACGTCGATGAAATAATGAATAACGCTTGTTTCTTATATATATTCTTTTTCTTCAGCCCTCTTAAAAATTATATATACCTATGTATATATATATATATATTTTTTTTTTCTTTTTTTCTCTTTTTCTCTTTGTATTTTTATATCTTTATTAGTACTATGAATCCTTCCTGTCAATGAAATTGCATAAACACATATTACAATGTTTAAATAAACGATGATATCATCTCCACCGCACATACTTCTTATCTTGTTTTTTATTATTATTTGTATTTATTAATTGTATGTTTTTATCGTGTCAGGAGTTTAAGAGAAAGGGGTTGTACGACTTATATATACCATGATATAACGTATATAAGGTAAAAAGTGAGAAAGGCAGAAAAAAGGAGAGAGAGAGAGAGAGAGAGAAAAAGCATACTTTCTTCCTTTTCTTTCCCTCATATTCTGGTTCTCCATTTTGTGTCTTTCGATGTGAGGTAAAAACGAGACGTAGCTCATGAAAAAAAAAAAAAATCAAAACACAATTGTAACACATTAATCGTTCATACTTTTCTCTCACTCTTACTTAAAAAATTCGTGATTATTTATTTATATAATATATGTAAGTGTAATTCCCGTTTAAACATCAACTCGCGAACGATAATAAACGAGTTGAATTTATAATATTTAATTGTGCTAGTATTTCTTTTACAAATTGTACACACTCTTACGACAAACTAAAAACATTCAGCTTGTTGTATGAGAAATAATAATAAGAATAATAATAGTTAATAATATAATATATATATATAATGGTATAGTAATACGCGATCATAACAAAACAAATCTACAAACTATGGAAGATTGATCAGTATCGTAGTTAATTATATTTAATCAAATAAATTTATTTAAAATGAACGAGCTTTTGTGCTTCGTAAAAATATTAATTAGGAAAATAAGTAAATAGAACGGAAAGATAAAGAGAAAATAAATTAATAAAAAAGAAAAGAAAAAACACACATTCAACCCCTTCCTCTTTCCTCGTTCATATTGGATACAACATTTTATGCATATTTTCTTATATTTGCTTTGTCGCTTAGTTATTGTTGTTGTTGTTGTTGTTGTTGTTGTTGTTGTTGTTGTTGTTGTTGTTGTTGTTGTTGTTGTTGTTGTTGTTGTTGTTGTTGTTGTTGTTGTTGTTGTAGATTGTTGTTGTTAATCCTTCCTTCCCTCTTTTACTGTCGTTTATTAATTAATACTAAACGTCTGATGAGAAACTCCTCTAATACATCTAAGATGCACATTCATGCTTACTTTTTTATGCATTCTTTACATTTAAATATGTATGCAGCACAGTAGACTATTCATTTCTATTCAATATGCGTGTGTGTACATGTAATGGTAAATTGTGATTAATGCTTATTTTTTATTTTATTTCATTTTCTTTTAATTTATTTTTATTTTCCTTCCCTTCGTCTTTCATTTTATTTTATTTTTTTTTATTTTTTTTTTTTTATCTTTGTCCATTTGACGATACTAAAACGACATTGATTCGTCTCTTCTTGTTAGATAATCTTACGAATCTCGTACATTTATTTCATGCTTATCTTTCTTACGATTCAGCTACTTATCTCATGATTTTTATTCATATTTTTTTTGTTAATTTATTTTTATATTTTATATCTTTTCTTAAATTTATTTTATTTATTAAAACAAAGGAGAGACGTATCAATAATGTTTCAAGACCATACCGACTCCAATAGACCGAAAATTCGTGAATCCTTAACAGTGATATTATTATGTGTATGTATGCATGTATTCAATTTGTGTTTAATTACATCGTTCGTTATTAATTAGCAAAGTCGATATCGATTTTACAATTCTAATTCCGTAGATAGACCAAGGAAACTCCTGGGAACGATGATCGCTATTAACGAAATTTTATAAACGCTACCAGTCTTTCTTTTTTCCTATTTTCTTTTTCTCATTTTTATTTTTCTTTTTTTCGAAATTACCAGCATACCATTTACAATAATTGAAAAGTGAAAATTGTGCAAGAAAAATAAAGAAGGGGTAATTTTATTAAATAGGAAAGTTTGATTATTAGGATAAAGGGGATGAAATTTGAAATATTTTATGTATATATTTTCGCGATCGTTCGTTACTTCATTTTTTATCCGTCAATATTTTTGTTTTCTCTTTTTTTTTCATATCTTTTCTCATCAAAATGATATATAGATGATTCAATGAGAGGGATTCCTGGGCGTTAGGCCGACAATTTGTTTTTAGCTCAACGAGTGCGTAAAAATGTTCTTTTTTTTTTTTGCGAGAAATCGATATTTTCCTTCTGCTTCCGTTAATTTTATATATCGTGAACACACAATATAGAAAAAAGGTAGAAAATACGGACACGCACGATAAGTTCTCATAAGAATCGTAGGCTGAAGTCGTATGTTTTGTATTTATGCATGTATGTATGTGTATGTATCTATCTATCTATCTATCTATCTATCTATCTATATATCTATCTATCTATATATATATATATATATATATATATATATTTCGCGATCAGTGAAATTTATTTTTTGTAATACTTTTATCTTTATTTCTCTCTCTCTCTTACATACTATTTCTCACATTAATTTCATGACGTGCACGATGTTTATAAAACGATCATTTTATAATATTTTGCTGTATGTGTATGTTTGATACAATCTACATAGCTTCTCTCACTTGAATCTATTAAAAAAATACAATAATCATAGAACGTTTGTAATAAATATTCCGAAACAAACGATCAATCAAAGAAGAATTTGATTGTAAATTGTATTTTCAATGTAAACGTAAGCGTGACGTTTTTAATAAAAATTAAAATAAATTTAATATAATAATAAAATGATTTGATTAAAATAAAAGAAACAGTTTAATGTACATATTTAACATTTATTTGTATAAAAATAGTTGAAATCAAATATTAAACAAAAATACTACAAAAGAGAAAGAAAGAGAAAAAGAGAATGGGTGAGAGAGAGGCAGAGATTAGAATTGATTATCTTCTTCCGATAAAATAGAAAATCATTATTTATAGTAATACCGCGAGAAGTAAAAATGCAAAGAAATAGAAACGATTTTCTTGACCGGTCCATCGAGATACGAAAATTGCGCTTTCGAACGATTTTTGTACAAAGGTGATTCGTATGTGTATGTTTGTATGTAGATATTACAGATTCCGACAAAAAAATGTATGCATATTTTGAGGACTCTGTATACATACATCTACATGTATATATTATATATATATGCATATTTATGCATATTTATGCATCAATTGATGTAGTTGACGTTTATGCGTATAATACAATGAGAAGGAAGAACGGTGCATGGATCGAAAGGTGAGGAGATAATGAGTCGTCTTATTTATTCTTGGCTTCTCGTCTTAACCGCGCACAATAAACAATTCGATCATTCGATTAATCGACAATCTTCCTTTTTTTTTTTATATCTTACTTTATCGAATTGTACCATATATTCGTCTCATTTTTCTAGTATTTTTTCAAATCTGTTTAAAAAAAAAAAACCAAATAAATGTACGAATATATGTTACAACACAACATTTCAATTCTAATCTAACGAAACGTTTTCTTAGATTAAGAAAATCTGACGATTTTTCAATGATCATTTTCGCAATTTCCCTGTATGTGAGACATGGCTTACATGTCTAAATCCATGTATACATATTTCTTTTCTTAACATAACTGTTCAGCCTTATATATATTTATATATGTATGTGTGTATGTACCTGTGTATGTATCTGTACGTATTATGTTTATATGTGTATATATTTATATAATTATATCGTTAAAAGACACGTTTCAACTATGGGACAAAAACGAATTTTCCCAAAAGTCGTGCTTTTTCTTTTTTTTTTTTTTTTCTTTTTTTTCTTTTCTTTGTTTCTTTTTTTTTTTTGAATGTGATCCGAAAAAACGCTATTAATCATTTTCTTATCCTTTTTGTCCTTTTTTATGTTTAAATCTTTTTCTATAAAATCGTTTAAACAGTCTTCCACCCATTTTCGCATGATTTTTCTTCGTTTTTATAAGTTTTCATTTTATTCTTTCTTATTTATTTATTTATTTATTTAATTATTTATCATCGTAGAAAATTATAAATCGCTGGTTTACGAGGTATAGACACGAAATGAATAAAAAAGGGATATCAAAATCTTCCGTACGATCGATCGATCGAACCAATACATTCGCAGTAACCCCTAAAAAGGTGCTAAGTGCATCGTGTTCTTGAGAATAGTAGTAATAGTAGTATCTTGATACGTGAAAATACTTATTTGCTTGTGTACGTGCACACGCGCGTATATGTAATATGTTTGTGTGTGCATATGTGTGTGTATGTTTTTGTATTACCTGCTATTTTTTCTATAATACTTTTTATTATTATATTCTCCTTTCTAATATCTTAGAATTTTCTCTCTTGTTACCCTCCACATATTATACGAGTTAACATATTTTTGCATCGTCATTTTCAGGTATGACGGCCTGGCTGATACATATAGTATAGTATTATCTCTTCAATCATATTGCGTTTGCTTAGTATGTCATTTTTGCTTTCTGTGTAATCTGTTTCAAGATTTGTTAATTGTATAATTTAATTTAATTATTATTATAGTCTTTGTTAGTATATCTTCGTCGTTCATGAGAACCATCGACAAATAATTTCTTTGCCTTAATGTGTGCGTCCGTTTATATGTTTGTATTATGTATGATCCATTCATATGTGTACTCACACCCCTCTTATCTCTTATATTTTCAAAGATATCGTAGCATAATTAATACTATGATTTATTTTATATTACAATTTGTCATATTATAAAACGAATCATGAAATAAATTCTTATTCAATTTTTGTCACTCGTAGCGTATTTCTCTCTAAATTTCTCTTTTTTTGGTTAAAAAAAAAAAAAGCTGTCAACGTTAACGAGGAAAATGCGAGTACACGATGCGAATGTGGTCATAAGAAACGTACGACCTGGAAACTTATGCGAACGTAGGAAATTTATTATGCTCGCACCGACATATTGTTTTATCATGATTTCTTATATTTTTATTATACATATCATTTTTATTTTTACGCTATTGTTTGTTTCGTTATGCTAACTAGAGACCTCCCTCTCTTCCCCTTTCCCTCCCTCTTTTACATTGTCTCCCTCAAGTGAAATGGTCCAAAATTTTTGAAAATATCCCTCCTGCACCACCCATTTCCCTACTCATTATTGATAAATCGCAAAAAACGTTTATTAGATATCGGAATTGCTTGTAAACCGAAGGATAAGCTCGTTCCTTTTTTTATTTTGTATTTTGTTTATCTTCATATCTTGTGATTCGTCTACTCTCAGCCTGCATCATCCCCCCGTTTCTTTTCTCCTTCTCTAATTTTATATTCTATACAATCTTCTATAATATTCTAAATGTAGTATTCGAAGAGACGAAGATATTGGGAGTAACTTTCAAGACGAATCGATGTTTCAAATTTTGTTTGTTTCCATATTTGTTTTACCTATTCTTTCTTCTAGTTTGTTTGTTTGTTTGTTTGTTTATTTATTTGTTGATTTGCTTCTTTTTCTTCGTAGAACTTTCTTTCACAATTTCCACCCTCTTGTGTACGCGGTATTCTTACATAAGGGAAGATATTTTAAAATAAGTATACGATGCATTATGTGATAGATTAATTTTACGAGTGCTCTTTGTTTACACACGCTAGTGCGATAAACTTTACGATTTGGTATTTTTTAATATAATTATATCATCGACCACGTCATTAATACACATTATTTATCACATTCTCTCTCTCTCTCTCTCTTTCTCTCTTTAGTCTAGTTTAATTTTCCCATTAATTATTTATTCTCTGTTCTTTCGATCACTAACTTTTCGTATTAGTTTATAATAAAATGTAGATTAGAAAAAGAAATTAGTGCGCATTGTATATATATATATATATATGTGTGTGTGTGTGTGTGTGTGTGTGTCCTCTGTGTACGATTATAATAACATTACTATTAATATGTACACGTACATATGCATATAATCGAGAAGAAATCTGTGTATGTATATGCTCATGTATGTATATTGGGGGGAGCGTACGTTTTTCTTCTTTTTTTCTTATATAAACAACGAGACATTAACTTCGAACATTAAATATGATCGGTAACGATGATCGTTTGGGGCCCAATCGATCGTCGAGATAATTGCATTGATGTTAAAGTTAAAGTTTAATCTCTTATTTAAAAGTGTGCACGAGCAGCATATTATCTATTTTATCTCTTTCTATCTTTCTTATTTATTTTCCATTTTCTTTTTTAATCCTTGGTATTCTCAACGCTACGTTAGATCGAATCATTCGTAAACATCATTCATCAACTTTCGTAATATCATTTAAGAAATAGAACAAGGATATATCTATATATATCTATATATATATATATAGTATCTATATATATAATATATATAATATATAATATATATAGTATATATATATAAATAATATGTATAGACCTCCTCCCTATGTTTTTCATCTTTAAGTAACCAACACAGAGCGGATTTTTTATTAAACATATTAATGGGAAAGTTCCTTGTATAGTGACCGCTCAAATTACTTTCTATATAATATGTATATATCGATTATCAATAATGTCTTCTTGCAACCATTCGATAACGAATTAATACAATATTTACTCTCTCATTTCTTTCCTTTGTTTTCAATCTATATTTCATCTTCATCGATCTCTTAAATATTAAGGAATACACAATTAGCGCAACGACGATTATTGGTCTCGCCATGATTTTTCTTCTTTACTTTATTTATCTTCTCGTTCTATCATAGCAATATTTCCTATGGTAATTTTTTCTTTATTGTTAATAATTATGTAAATTCGAACGCAATATAATATATATATACCTTCATCTAGAAATTCGACAATTTAACGTTGTCAATCGTTTCCTATCACTCTCTCGTCTCATTCTTTTTTCATGTTTTCATTTATTTTATTTAGTTTTCACTGGTTAATAAGTAACCAGTCGTCTCTTCCTAAATCTAATTCTTATCTTAGGCTTGAGCGAGCCCACGCATGCATACATAGGGATAATCCGACGTCGAACACAAGCAGAGACACATTTATTTAAGTTTCTTTTTTGTTCTTTTTCTTTTCACAGGCACACGCACCATTCCTTATTCTTATCGCATATAGAATATCTCGCTTTCTCGTGTATGTGTGTGTATGTATGTGTATGTGATATATATATATATATTTTTTTATAACATATTTATTTAATGTATACTTTTGTTACCCATGCGCCGTAAAAACAATTACTATTTTCGAAACAATTCAGTTTTTATAAATCTCATCGCCATTCTCATGCCACACCCACAGCCTCGAGGCAATTTACGTTTAATACAAATAATTATGTCAACTACATTATATCACGTATGCGTGCTTTGTATGTAGCGTACATGTACGCACGTTTATGTATATATGTGTGTATATGTGTTTTATATATATATATATATATAAGCTATTTTATTATTCACTTTCTTTCTCTCTCACTTATACTTTTCTTCAGTCGCGCATATAATATGTATAATATGCAATTCGCGTATTTATGCGTACACTTATTTATAATAATGAAACAACAGTGTACGCTCATCGGTATACTCCTCGTATGCCGCTATATTCGGTAATGCGACAATAAATTTACATGAATATTCATATCTTTGTATGTGTACGTATGCATATATGCAAATGTATATATATTAATTTAGAATTGTGCAATGAAGTATTTTCTTTATTTCTGTATTTATTTCTTTATTTATTTCTTTATTTACTAATTTTTCTTCTTATATTCCTTAGAGCCATTAGTGCAACTACTGTTGCTGCGGATGTGGTCGGACGAGTTGCCATTTATTTTTTAAGAGACGTCGTAGTTCAAAGAAAGAGTGCAGTAAAGTGCAGTTTTCAATGCTCTTCGTTTCTCACATTTTGCTGACATAACATAGTGATAATAATAATAATAATAATAATAATCATAATCATAATAATAATAATAATAGTATCTTATTGTATGTATATATATATTTATATGCATGTATGCATGTATGTATGTATATATGTATGTATGTCCGAGTCATATTTCAGTATCTCAACAAATTCCAGCCTTCTTATTGAACACTGATATAAATATATATTTAAGTTATGTATGTATGTATGTATGTGTGTGTATACAATATATCTGTGTACAATCAGGCGAAAAGAAGAAAGGAGTTTACGGGGGTTCCATTCGAATGGATTACGCGCGAGGCTGTTATTGACGGATAAAGCTTTTCAAGCTTTTTTTTATTTTTTTTTTTTTTTTATCATCTCTGCGTCACAACAGGGTGGAAGAAGGAACGGAAAAGGCTTCTTCCTCCTTGAATCGTCCTAGCTCTTCAATAGTCGATCGTATTAGAGACGTATTTCGCTTTGCTCGACGACGAGCAGGCTCGGAGTAGAAGAAGATGATGGTGATGGTGATGACGGTGATGATAATGATGATGACGATAATAACGACGACGACGACGACAATGATGATGATGATGATGATGATGATGATGATGACAATGATGATGATAATGATGGAGATAACGACGAGGACGAAATAGTTGAGGAAGAAGAACTTATCATAGTCATCATCATAGTCGTTTAACACGTGTGAAAAAGTTTAAATGCCGATATGACCCAATCCATTCGATGAATCGAATCGACGTATTTCATAAAATTGCAAACAGTAGTAGCAATTTTTTTCTTTATACCCAAGAATCACCAGCCGAAGCTGCATTTGAATTCGGTGGTATGCTAACGGTTGCATTTGCTGGTGTCCCATCTTGGACACCGATGGAAACGCCATCAGGCATCCACTGAGTGGTACCTGGCGCACCGCCAGTCCCACCAGTTACGCTCGATACCGTACCGACCGGTCCTTGATTTTGACCACCGACACCAACACCACCACCACCACCACCAACACTACC